GATAGATAGATAGATAGATAGATAGATAGATAGATAGATAGATAGATAGATAGATACTGAACAGACTGAGATCACTATGAACAGGCTTAGATAGATAGATATATAGATAGATAGATAGATAGATAGATAGATAGATAGATAGATAGATACTGAACAGACTGAGATCAATATGAACTTGGCTTAGATAGATAGATAGATAGATAGATAGATAGATAGATAGATAGATAGATAGATACTGAACAGACTGAGATCAATATGAACAGGCTTATATAGATAGATAGATAGATAGATAGATAGATAGATAGATAGATAGATAGATAGATAGATAGATACTGAACAGACTGATATCAGTATGAACAGGCTTAGATAGATAGATAGATAGATAGATAGATAGATAGATAGATAGATAGATACTGATCAGACAGAGATCACCATGAACAGGCTTAGATAGATAGATAGATAGATAGATAGATAGATAGATAGATAGATAGATAGATGATAGAAAAGACTAGATCACCATGAATAGATAGATAGATAGATAGATACTGAACAGACTGAGATCACTATGAACAGGTTTAGATAGATAGATAGATAGATAGATAGATAGATAGATAGATAGATAGATAGATAGATACTGAAGAGACTGATATCAGTATGAACAGGCTTAGATAGATAGATAGATAGATAGATAGATAGATAGATAGATAGATAGATAGATAGATAGATACTGAACAGACTGATATCAATATGAACAGGCTTAGATAGATAGATAGATAGATAGATAGCGGACAGACAGAGATCACCATGAACAGGCTGAGATAGATAGATAGATAGATAGATAGATACTGAACAGCCTGATATCAGTATGAACAGGCTTAGGTAGATAGATATATATGAACTAGTAGTGTAAGAGAGTAGCTATACCCAAGCCAGAAGAGAGAGAAAAGAGAGAGAGAGAGAGAGAGAGAGAGAGAGAGAGAGACAGAAAAAGGAATGTGAAGAAAGTAGAAAAGATATAATAAAGCCTCAAGAGATGAAATCTATATTTCTCTATATCTATCTCTCATCATCGCTGCTTAAATGCAACGTCCTTTTTTATTTCATTTTTTTATCTTTTATTTGTTCCTATCTCTCATATTTTGTCCTAGTCAGTCTTTAACATCTATCTATCTATCTATCTATCTATCTATCTATCTATCTATCTATCTAAGCCTTTTCATATTGATTTCAGTCTGCTCAGTATCTATCTATCTATCTATCTATCTATCTATCTATCTATCTATCTATCTATCTAACCCTTTTCATATTGATTTCAGTCTGCTCAGTATCTATCTATCTATCTATCTATCTATCTATCTATCTATCTATCTAAACCTGTTCATAGTGATCTCAGTCTGTTCAGTATCTATCTATCTATCTATCTCAGCCTGTTCATGGTGATCTCAGTCTGTTTGCTATCTATCTATCTATCTATCTATCTATCTATCTATCTATCTATCTATCTATCAGTGTCTCTCCCTTTATATCTACCTATCTAATTCAGTGTGTCGATGTATCTATTTATCTCTCTGATTCAATCTCTTCTCTGTCTATATATCTATTTATCTGATATAGTCGATTATATATATCTCTATCTATCACAGTTTTTTCATATCTCTCTCTACATATATCTATCTTTTCTATCTATCTATCTATCTATCTATCTATCTGTCACTTCATATCTATCTATTTGTCTAACTCAGTCTCTTCATCAATCTGATTCAGTATATATCTAGCTATCGATCTAATTATCTGATTCAATCTCTTTTTATCTATCTATCTATCTATCTATCTATCTATCTATCTATCTATCTTTCTGATTCAATCTCTTATGTGTCTATCTATTTATCTATCTATCTGATTCAATTTCTCCTTATCTATCTATCTATCTATCTGATTCAATCTCCTCTTATCTATCTATCTATCTATCTATCTATCTATCTATCTATCTATCTATCTATCTGATTCAGTCCCCTCTTATCTATCTATCTATCTATCTATCTATCTGATTCAATTTCTCCTTATCTATCTATCTATCTATCTGATTCAATCTCCTCTTATCTATCTATCTATCTATCTATCTATCTATCCATCTATCTATCTATCTATCTATCTGGTTCAATCTCTCCATCCTATCTATCTATCTATCATCTATCTATCTATCTATCTATCTGATTCAATCCCTTCTTATCTATCTATCTATCTATCTATCTATCTATCTATCTATCTGATTCAATCTCTTATCTGTCTATCTATCTATCTATCTATCTATCTGATTCAATCTCTTATCTGTCTATCTATTTATCTATCTGATTCAATCTCTTCTTATCTATCTGTCTATCTATCTATCTATCTGATTCAATCTCTTCTTATCTATCTATCTATCTATCTATCTATCTATCTATCTATCTATCTATCTATCTATCTGTCTGTCTGTCTGTCTGTCTATCTGTCCTTATGACTGTCCTTTTGTCTTTGAATCAATTCTTTTCTTCCAGTTTATTCATATTTTTTTCGTTTGATGCCTCATTTTCCAACCCGGTGCCTACGTATATATGTGCTTTTTTTTTACAGAAACATTAAGAACGATTATCATATTTATGAAATCCTATAAATGTGAGTATGTATGTACATGTATGCGTGTGTGTGCGTATGGATGTGTTTGTGCGCGTGCGCGCGCACGCATGTTTGTATTAGACCGAGAAAAATAGATTGATAAAGATCGCACATATGATTATGCATACGTGTGTACGATCATGTGTAAGGGGCATATGTATGGTGGCGAATGTGTGCGCCTGCGCAGAGAAGGTGAACTAATGAAATTCGTCTATCAGAAAATTGATTGATCTTGTGAAAGACGATAAATGGGATGGGTTTGAGAGAAGCAAAAGACTGAGAAAAACTGGGAAATATTGAAAAGAATTATATGTTCAAGCGTGCAAATGAAAGAAAAAAATGCAGAAGAAATAAGTGGATGAATAAAAAAAAGAAAGCGAGTGGTATTAAAAAGAACGAGTTCAGAAAACAAGAAAGAAAAAATGGAGTCAATATAATCAGTTGGAATAATTGACAGTCAGTGACTTGCCATTCTTCAAAAATCTACAATGACAATGCATAAAGAGGAAACCGAAAAAGAAACATGGAACCCAAATATCCAACACTACATAACCAGACACTGTCTACGAAAGAGTGACGAGCAAGCAACAAGAATATTTAAAAAGAAAAGCCGAGAATAAACCAGTAGAAGAACCCGAAGCAAAAGAACAAATGTCAAACAGCGATGCTAATAATGATAATCCAAAAGGCTGCGCCTATGGGATTATTTCGAGAACTGAATACCTGTTTGTTTGGGAGCAGTCATTGGCTGACAGCTGTTTGGCAGGAAGAGGGAGGGAAGCCGTGAAAATGGGGAGGAGACGGGTAACATCGAAGATAAGAAGGTGGAGCTCAAGTACAAAATGGCGCAAGAGACGTGTCTCTCGTCTGTTTCAAGTGACAGCCGCTCGTGTTATGTGTGCAACTCACGTATCAACTAACTAGAAGCAGAGGGATTTAAAAACGGCTTTCCGATAAGATGAGAAGGCGCACTAGTTCGTTCTTGATCGGTAAACAATGATTGTAAAGCCAAGCCCACTCTCAGTCTCTTTTCAACTGTTACACTTTGTAATCATAATAATACATCTACTACAACTACTACTATTACTACTACTACTACTACTAATAGGAATAATAATAATAATAATAATAAGAAGAAGAAGAAGAATGCCGACTCTGACTGACCATGGCTTTCCACAGCGTCCTGCTCTTGTAGCTCCTAATAAACGTTGTTTTTTTTCTCCTAAGCCCTTTTCCGCCATCCATTTACTCAAGCTCACTAAGTATGTTATGCTTTGTCTTCCTCTGTCCCTCTTGCCCTCTGGTTGCCCTGTGAGTATCAGTTTTTCTAAGCCCTCTTTCTCATTATGCACTCGATAACCACAACTGTCTATTCGTGATGTTAAATATAAGGTTCCTTTTGTTTCCATTTTAACTCAAGCTTTCTCGTTGTTCGCATGTTCAGTCCACGATATCCTCAGCATCATTCTGTAGAAATACGTTTGTTACTTCAAATCTTTTCTTCACTTTGAGGAGTTCGTCCAGCACTCATTGCCATACAGGAGAGCAGATATCTCGTAGAAGTTTAGAAGCAGAATTTGTACATTTATTATGAATCTGCTTAGCTTTTCGAATGTATCTTTGGCTATCCCGATAGGCCTTCGGATTTTAATGTCAACATCTTCTTCCTTTGTTTATACACTTGTCAGATATTTAAATCCCTGCTCTTGTTATACTTTCGTGTCTCGCAGTTAAAATTTGCATTTTGTTCCCACCCATTTGTTAACGACCATGAATTCTGTCTTTTTTTTTACGGCAAAGTTAAATCTTTATAATGCCCGGCTACTCGATGTAGACGGTTACGTTAGGTCATTTGTGTGTATAGGAATGGAAGATAACAGTTAACCCTAACCTTGAACAGCTTAAAATTCTAGTGATCGGGGAAACATCCTGTTGGAAGTCGGTTCTTCAAGGGGTTGGTTCGCGGGTAGATGCTGTTCGAGTGGAACTTTATTACATCTCAGCGATGGAATATATAGAGAATTTGGGTGGTTTGCTTCTATGTAAGTGGCATAACGTGTACATGCTCTGAAGGTTTGACTTGTCGGGACCAGTGAATGTAGTTCGACTGAGCGCTTTCCGTAGAGCAGTATGAGACTCACCACATCCCGTCTGTGGGAGAGAGATCGGTTGGAGGTCGGAAAATAATTCGTCACCCCAATTATTCGGAGACGTTTTGGGGTTCTATCAAGACTGCGGACTGTGGTCTGAACAGCTCCGTTCCAAATATGACAACAGTACTCAATTTTGGGTCTGACATTGCTCGTGTAAAAGTAGAGAATATCAGGAGGAGTCAGGTTCTTTTTGGAGCGGTACCGAGAGAAAAATTCTTAATCTGAATCCTTAGCAATAGATACTATTTATGAGTTCCAAATAGATAGATAAATCAGATTTCCACTGCACGGTGCCTCTTCGAAGGGACATTCGTTTATGCTGATTTGCGATAGTCTGAGTTAAATCGGCGATAATGAAATGTAACTAACTTGGTCTTTGAGGCACTGAATGTAACCAGCGAATTTTACCATATTTGGTAGTTTCTGTAAGATTGTAGGAATTATCAATCGCCAATCTCTGACGATCAAGGATTTTAGAGCTTCCCCCGTATATAGTCGTAAAATTGGCATAGATGTTTTAAATTATCAATCGCCAATCTATGACCATCACGGGTGTTAGAGATTCGCCCGTATATAGTCGTAATATCGGTTTATATATTTACAAATTATCAATCGCCAATCTCTGACCATCAAGGGTTTTGGAGGTTCACCCGTATATAGTCGTAACATTGGCATATATGTTTACAAGTTATCAATCGCCAATCTCCGACCATCAAGGGTTTTAGAGGTTCGCCCGTATATAGTGGTAACATCGGCATAGATGTTTACAAATTATCAATCGCCAATCTCTGACCAACAAAACTTTTACAGGTTCGCCCGTATATAGTCATGACTTCGGCATAGATGTTTACAAACTATCAATCGCCAATCTCTGACCAACAAGGCTTTTAGAGGTTCGCCCGTATATAGTCATAACATCGGCATAGATGTTTACAAATTATGTGTATATTCTTAACCAGATCATTTATAGAAATCAAAAAGAGGGTTGGTCCATGGTCTGACCTCTAGAAGACACCTGCATTGACCTCTAGGGCTCTGGAGGTCTAACCATTAATAACTACCTACAGTGACCTCCAACCTGTTCTTTTTCTTTTTCTTCTTCTTCTTTTTCTGTTTTTGTTCTTTTTTTTCTTCTTCTTTTTCTCATTCTTCTTCTTCATCAACTTTTTTTTTCCTTCTGTAATTAATAATAATTATTATTATTTTTCTTTTTCTTCTTCTTTGTTTCGTTTCCCTTCAGGACGTTGGCTATCATGTCTCTCTAACTTCATGTCCTTTCTAGATCTTAATAAATGATGTATTTTTTTTATCTCTCCTAAAACATGGTCTGCCATTCATTTATTCAATCTTTATACATATGTATTTAGAACATGCTCTGGTTTCCCAGTGTCCCCTTTTTTAAAAAAATCTTTCCTGTGATTAACAAGTTTTCCAAGTCCTCTTTCCTCATTATGTACCCAAGTAATTTCATATGTCTCTTTCTGATGATAGGTATAAGTGTCCTTTTTGTCTCCTCACTTGTGCGTCCCGTCGTATTCTCACTATCCTTCTGTAGAGCCGCATTTATATTGCTTCAAGTCTCTACTTCATCTGTGAGGTGATTGTCAAGAATTCACTGCGGTAGAAGTGGAATTATCATACGTAACATTTTAGTACTCTTTTCTTTGTTTCTAATGATTTTTTTTTTATCTTAATAGTTTGTTTAGCTTTTCGAAGGTACCTTCGCTATCTCAATGAGCCCTCGGCTTTCAGTGTCACACATTCCATCCTGAGATACTACATTTTCCAGATATCTAAATTGATGTACTAGTTTGATTACGGTATCTCCATTTTGAAATTTACATGTTAGTGTGTTCCGTTTGCCAATAGATGTTTAGTCCTTTCTTCTCGCTTGCTTTCACAAAGATTCTAAAAAAAGGGAAAAGAAAATGTGTTTATCGGCAACATTTATTAGACAAACAGTCACTTGGCATTCATCTTGAAGTGGCTCTTAGCGAGTACAGTTTTTAAATCAATGTAACGTAGTTCGATTCTCAATGATGGAAATTATCTTTAAAATTATTCCTAGCAACGATAAATTTAGAAAAAAAAATCGAAAGCATTTTTCGCATAGCAAATGTCTGAGAAAAATTTTAACCAAATATTCACAACCACCACGGACTCACAAATTTATTTCGTCTAACTTGCTCTTTATACGATGGTGTATTTTATTCTAGAATTATTGAACTAAAACACAATTTTCCTCTGGTTTTGAGTGCAAGTACCAAAATTTTTCTACTGCATTTTTTTCATAATTTGGACGCAGTTTAGTGGTTCACACTTTGCACCTAACTGGAACCATATCATGTTCCCGGATCAGGGTGTACCTGGGAACAACAATAAATAAAAGGTGGTTCTACACTTGCCCAAACCTACGGAACGATATATGAAATTTTATATATCAAGAAAAATATTCAGGAAAAATCTATGACAAAGAGAAAAAGAGGTTTCATATGACGCATTTAGTCTTTTATTCATGAAAGCAAATTTCTTATGTTGAGGTGACTATACATGCTAACGTATAAGGGATGCTGGTAATTTTAAGTGTTCATATATATATATATATATATATATATATATATATATATATATATATATATACAGTATGGTGTTTCGAAATTTTTAGTAAAGTGAAATGTGTCGTTGTCGTCAT